CTAGGCAGGGTGGCGAGCTAACGGAGCGTGTTGGTGTGAGTATGTTGTAGACACTGAGTGTCTACACTGAGTAGTGTTTACAAAACACCGCTAAGGTGCAGATGTAGTCCTGAGTGCCGGGTATAAAAGTTGTGACGCTTAAGAAGCATCTCACACGTCCCTTCTCGTTTTTTTTGTGTGCGGTCGCTGCCTCTGCCACTGCCGTGAGTTTGCAGTGTGTTGGTCTATGGAAGGGGGGCGAGCTAACGGAGCCTGTTGGCGTGAGAAGTGTTGTAGATGTAGATGACAGATGAAGAAAAAATTTAAAATTGGACAAATAACCACTAAGGTAGCAAGCACGTGGGGAACATAACCTCTACGCCAGGTAAGTATTGGAGCAAAGCTGTAACCAAGTTACATATTACGACGTGGCGATTTCCCCCTTGAAAGGCGGGTGGCCAAATAATTCCCCTCTACCTAAGGGTAGAGCGGTAACTTAAAACCTCAAAAAAAAAAAAAAATAACCACTAAGGTACAGATGTAGTACAGAGTGCGTCTCACGCGTCCCTTCTTGTTTTTAATCTACTGAGTTTAACCTGCATCAGGTTGCCGTAGTGTTCTGCTTACTTTGTGAAAATTTGCGAAAAGTAAATAAAACAGTGAATAATAAATTGATCCAAACAAGAGATTAGGTATAGTGGGTAGCTCTTGCACTAACAGATTAGGAAGAAAATCAGCGAAATACTAACACTATGAACAAATGCATTGGCAGATTAGGAAGAAAATCAAGGATGAAAGCGCCGACCACATTGAGACAACCCATATCTGCGAGAAAAAAACAAGAGGTCCGTTTTTCTTTGGATTCTAGCTATTTCATGTCTAAGCTAGCTAGCAAGATAAATAACATAAAATCAAGAATAATAAAGGTATTTTAGCTGTCAATAATTATAAAAAAAGAAGTCGGTATTATGGTTAATGGTACACCATGATGGGTATTTTAAAAATATTTTAAGTGAACATAATTAGCTGAAAAGAACCAGTTCCGCTGCGAATTGAACACAGCTGCTTTTCCAGCGATAACAATAACAGCCGTCTACGCCTCAAATTAAATGCACAGCGTTTGGCTAAAATAAAATTTGACTATTCATTTTAAAGATAACAATTTGAAATATAATGGGTATGTTTAAAAAATAGGCGGTAATTGTTATCAGTTTCCGGTGATTGCTCATATTTACGTACTATCAATTGTTTTATGTTTTTATTTTACACACACATTTTTGAAGGGGTGCATGTTCATGCATCATGCAGCTAAGCTTGTACATATGTATGTACGTTTGTGTGTTTTTGTAAAAGCTCTTCTATGTATTGGCTAATTTTAATGTTTAAGCATTTACATTCTTGTACATATGAATTTCTTTATTTTCAATTAATTAAATCCATATTTTCAGGTTGCAACGACGCAGCTTCCGTTCAAAAACTGGAAAAGCACTTGGCGTTATTAAAGGAAGAATACACAAAGTTGCAGCGCAGTTATACGGAGCTGGAGCGAAAGTTTAACGAAGTTGTTGCCTCATCAGCAGATGCAGAGCTCTCTGGAGAACTCAGCAGTTTTGTCTCCAGATTAGCATTGACAGTGGCTTCATTGTACGGGCGTCCGACCTATTCAGATGTTAACATCCGAATAAACACGAAAACAGTTCCAGCACATAAGTTTGTCCTTCATGCTCGATCAGAGAAATGGCGCGAAGACGTTCTGGGAAGCACTCATGAGCTCGACTGGAGCGATCTAGATGAGGATGTTGTCATGGCTCTGTTGCGTTGGATTTATACCGATTTAATTGACTTACAGCACGACCGATTGGCTTTGGATATACTTAAAGCTGCGCATCGATTCGGGCTACCTTCCCTTTTAGGCTTGTGTGAGCGAGCACTGGTAGCTTCGGTTGGAGTGAGATCTTGCGTGCGATTTTATTGTGTGGCAGAAGAAGTGGCAGCGTCAACGCTTCTGGAATATTGTTCCGGTATTATATCAACGCACTGGGATGACCTAACAGCCCAAGACTTTGAACATATGTCTGGTCCATTACTTTTCAAAATGCTTAAGAATAAAACCAAATACCCACTACACGCTGCAGTGCGACTGCTGAGGGAAGACGTCGTGTTCCTGTGCCTTGTGGAAAATGATGACAAAGTAAGTTCATTTAAAATTATTTCGTGTCCACTATAAATATTGAAGTGGGCGAACCAGGTCTTCCCAGATCGTACTAATCATATCTAAATTTCAAAAAATCTAAAAACGCCATAATATAGAATGATGCTACTAATGCACCACCAATGCATTGCAATGTTTAGTTCCGCAACCAATGCACTATGCTGATTTTGACCACTTTTTCTGACCAAAACCCATTTAACAAAAGTATTTAAAATAATATATTCTTAACAGCGATGTATCCGAAAAACACTGATCTTCAAAGTGATGTACATAGTCTACAATTTAACAGAGTTTACCACTGTTAAGAAATCTGTTAGCAAGCGACACGAAAGCTCTATTAATTGAATAGTTTAATTTTAGTTCAATTGGTACTACGCAGCCTGATCAGACAGGTTTTAATTATGATTTTTGACTCTGACCAGATTAAATAGTCTTCATATTTTATTTGCCAGTTGTGCAGAGTATTTCCTACTTCGCAAAAGTACATATATTATACCCCCTGCCCTTATTTGTGTAAGCAAATTTCAGGCAGATTAGAAACTTGGAGAAAATAGTACATACGTGCTTCAACAAAATATGCTTATTGACATGACGCACATTGGGCATACGTCTTCCGAAAGTTCATAGACTCATAACGCTAAGAGTATGCATGCAAGCAGATCTAGAATACGTGGGCACATGAAGCAACTATATAAGGAGGCCTCGTCGGTGGCAGAGTTACTCGCTGCTTTTCCCAATTCTCAGTGCTCGTTTGCTTGTCGATGCGAAAAGTTGGTTGCGGACAAAATTTGATTTCAAATTTTTTCAAAATTGTTATATTTTCAAAACACAGACTACTATTATTTAGCAAACTATTAAAAATTAAATTATGAAACAATTATTATGTTTTTTTTACATTGCCTTGAAATGATTAATCAGCACACTCCATGTCGTTGCCCTCACACTTACAGCGAGAGCCCTTTCACTCGCACTTTTCACAACTAACAATTATTATAGTCAGAATGAAGTCATTAATTAGCAGTGCCTACCCCCACACTCTGCTTCGTGCAGTGTGCGGCTCTAGGGGAGGGGGGCGAGCTAACAGAGCGTGTTGACGTGAGAAGTGAAGAGGATGTAGATGACATATGTAGAAAAAAATCTTTCATACCCGGCACTCAGTCAGTGTACCTGTACCATATTGTTTTTTTTTTTTCAATTTTACATTTGACATTTTACATTTTTTCTACACCTGTCATCTACATCTAAATAGTTTCTCACGCCAACACGCTATTTTCGCTAGCCCCCCTCCACGTCAGAGGCAGAGGCGCGGCAGAGGAAGTGTCCAGAGTGTTAATGAGAGAATGTGAAAAAACAGCAAAACCTGCTGGACAGGGTGGGTTTAGCCACTGCAAATTAATTTCTTCATTGTGGCTATAATAATGATCAAATTTGGTGATCTGATAGATATCGTCATTCCCTACAGAATTGCGTTTATAGATTTCTTTTATCTTCAAAATTGTAGATTTGGGAGTTTTTCGCCATTTTTCGGGAGCGGGGCTAATTTTTGAAATACACTTGTTTCAGTGTGAGTATACAGCAGTCTGGAGCCAAGCATTTGGTGCCTCTAGCTCTTATTGTCTCTGAGAACTAGCCGACAAACAAGACGGACGGACGGACAGACGGACAGACAAATGTGGCTCAATCTACTCGGCTATTGATGCTGATCAAGAATATATATACTTTCTGGGGTCGGAAATGTTTCCTTCTGTGCCTTACATACAACCGTTATTCGCACAAATACAATATACCCTATTTACTCTTCGAGTACCGGGTATAACAAAAAACCGTTAAGGTGCAGATGTGCTACTGAGTACTGGGTATTAAAGCTGCGACTCGTAAGAAGTGTCTCACACGTCCCTCCTCTTTTTATTTTGTTTTGTTTTTAAACCCGGTACTCGAAGAGTAAAGTTGATGTATGTAACGCAGGGAAGGAAACGTTTCCGACCCCATAAAGAATATATGTATATTCTTGAGCAGCATACATATGTATGTCCGTCTTGTTGAGCGCCTGGATCTCAGAGACTATAAAAGCTAGATCATTTTTATAGCCAGAATGAAAACAAATCGAAAAGAGCGTGTTGGCGTGAGATGTGACGTTGATGACATATGTATATCCATACATATGTAGAAAAAAAGTAAAATGTTAAATTAAAAAAAAAACACTAGAGCGGACCATCCACGATGGAATATGTTCGGAAAACATGTTGGGTTCGAATCGTTGGTGGTAGTGTTCGGGTCGACATTTCGAGTTCGAGTTGTGTTCGAAGAGAATATAAGTTATTCTATCTTCGTTGTGTTCGTGCTAACATGTTCGTCAATGGATGGCAATTTCGGCACGAACATCATTTGTAAAAATTGTTGCTTGAGTGAACCACCTTCATTTAAAATTTCAAAACAATTTTTGCAAGAATTTATACATTGCCTTTTTTCTTTTTTTTCTTCAAACATATATGTATTTCCATTAAGGCAATTACTGTCTCGGTGTCTGCTGACATTGTTACTCCTTGACCATTTCAAAAAAATTATGTTTGCGAGAAATGTTCGCACTTGTTGGTGGTCAAATGAAATTCATATTATACAACATATTTTCCAACAAATTCTACCGGGTATAAAAGTTGTGACGCGTAGGACGCGTCCCTTCTAGTTTTTTGTTAGTTTGGTTAGGGCTGGTGAATGTTGTTAACTATCTTTAATTAATCCCTGGAGACGTGAGGCTAAGTCTCCGGTGATAATTTTAATAATAATAATTATTTTGAACAATGTAGTATTATTCGTTGTTGTACAGTATTTAATTGAACCAATTTTCATGAATATCTCTATACTTTTAACTAACTATGCGTCATTTACTCGTATGCTAAATTTGCACATGTAATCAATTATCACAATTAAGCACTTTAATCTAATCTAAAATATGATTTCCCGTATGTATGTTATTTCAGTCGGCAGGATTAGGTACTCCGAGAAAGCATGAGCCACAAGGTTCGAAGCAAAACAATTAGGATCATAATATTTGGGTCAATGCTAGGCAGACTTGATGAATTGCACAGCTCTCCGCGGCAGTAACAATTTATTTTTGCTGACCCCGCCAAGTGATTGTCCTTTACTTCTGTGCACCCCTCATCGTACACTTCCTGGACCAGGTGCTCCTGTTCCCATTGCTTATTGCGGAATATCTAAGAAAAGAACAGGGTACCAGTATCAATCACAAGGGCATTCACATATATCGCGTCAATAATAGATCACACCTGAGTGGTATTCTTTTGTTGGGCGCATCCTCTTGTCACAGCTTCTTGCTTTTGACCATTTTGCAAGTGTAAAATAGAGATTGTTTTCAAACACATTGTTGAATATGGACAGTGCGTCGTGTAACCTGCGTTCTCCTCAAATTTCGAGCACAATGGGGTTGTAATTGTTCGGTTCTCTATGACATACTTTTCTATAGTTACGGAGCACTTATAACATTGTAACATATCAGCTAATGATCCTTTGCCTGTAAGTAAAAGAAATGTTTAATGTTCGGCATTAATTCGAAAGTTGCATTAAACTATACTGAATCTGGAATTTTGTATTTTTAAATTTCAAAGACTAACATCGGGGATCCTAGTGCAGCAATACGTTTTTGATTTTTAGAATATTCATATTAACAAGACTCTCACATATTCGTACCTCTTAATTACTTTGCAATTGCTTAATTCTCAGTAAAAAAAAATCATTTATCCATTCAGTCAAGAAAAATTGTTACATTATCAAAATTGTTTATATGGTTGAGTTTATCTAAACATTTCTGTCTGTCTGAGTTTTGAAGCATGGAATCGTATCGACAGAATAACAGTGAATCAACTTTCAAAAAACCAAAAACCTTCGATACTCAATAAAAACTAGTTTTGTATACTCACATTTGTAATTTCGAAATGAGAAATACATATATAATATTACAAGAGGGATTGGTCACAGTAACATGTTTAGTTTACCATAAAATAATACAATCCATCAGATTCAAACTTATACACTTATGTAAATACGTCAGGTGTTCTATTTTTTGTGGTCTTTTTTGAATATTTTTTGTTACATATTGTATATGTACATACATGCATGTTTTTATTTTGTATATATATATGATATATGATACACGTTTCTCAGTTAATACGATTATTTGTAAGAAATTCTCTCTTAGAGTCGCTTCGATATCGTTGAGCACTTTTAAATACTCACATCAGCGCGAGAATGATAAGTGTATAATTATAAACTTTTCTGGAGAACTTAATATACATACTTGGAATTGTTTTAGATCTCCATTCTTTAGAAAGTCATAGCTCAATCGTTAACCAGTAGCTTCTACACAGTGGCTCGATGCAAGGCTCAAACATTTTGCATGTATGTACATATTTATGTTTTTACATATGTATAGTTCCCTCTTGAAGAATTCGAAGTATGATACGTCTTAAGGTTCGCCATAACGCAAAAAGTATATGGATATGCACATATGTACATACATACATATGCATTTAAAGTGATGCATTTATTTATTTAATTGCAATTTTTAGCTATCTATAGAAAAGAAATCGCGTCGGTCATCGACACAGAACTGTTTTAATGTACAAACATATGCATACTATTGTGATAAAACGAACATACTCTTCGACTGCGTTCAGCAAAGTGAGGAGTCTGATACAAGTTTCCACTAGTAGTCGAATTGCTTTAAAACTAAGGGTCTATTTTGAGTAGGAAAGGGACGGTATCGACTGTTGTAAATATGCAAATAAGTAAATTTCTTTCTGTACATATACATATACATACATATCTACATATCTACTGGAATTATTACTTTGAAACCTTTAAACATAGAGAGTAATTTAAATGAAATATGTGTCCACAAACAATACAAACCTAACGTTACTGCAACGAAAAATGAAAATACTCCGTTCAAGATGTAGCCTCTGCTACCTGCTTCAGGACTGCGTGCCATGGTTGTGTTTCAATGTTTCTGCCAATGCTCCCGCGGGTATTAATTAATCTAAAGTTTAGAAAATCGAAAGTACAAGAGTTTACTACATATTTATATGTTAGAATCCAGTCAACTACATACATGCATACATATGTATGTTTGTACATAATCTGATTTCCAAACTTTTGTACGCACATTCACATTCAGTCATAGACCTGTTCGCCGGTAATGGGCGAAAGTGGCCCTGAGCCAAATACTCGTACACGCATACACGTGTATGCATTTATATATACATAAATTCATATGTACATGAATTAACTCAGCAGTGCATATATTCATACACGTTTCACTTATGTACATGTTTAAGTGACCAACAAATAACTTAAGAATACAAAAAATAATATCTTACCCAAAAAACGTGCATATGTACGGCTCATTCTACGCAAAACATATTTGTTCCAGCAAACAAACACACGCATTACTATGAGCAAGTGGCACAAATTACGAAGCACTGGTTACTTGTAACTAACCTACTACTAGCCGCCACTGCTCTGCTCAATAGAATTTAAACAGCTTTGAAACCTATGAACGTATATACATACTTATATACATATGTATGTATATCGATCGACATGTTGAGTTAGAGATGGTCAGTGCTCTGCGCTAAATTCCGAGCCTGAATAACTAAATTTGGAGCTGCGAAACCATCACCAGTCGAACTGTACCCTATCGATAAATAACATTCAACTGCCACCCCTCGATTCAAACTTTAAAAATGTTTTATTATAACATAATATCTTGAAGTCGTTTTCGCTCTGGCTATTACTATAGATTGTAACCCATTATTTATGTTAGTCTAAATCTGGGCCGAATAATGTATACATAGATACATACGAATGTATATGATGGGCTGTTTCTGATCGTGCGTGTTCCAAAGCTCACGAACTGTTGCCGCCCGTCTTTAGTTTACATTTTATGCGTACGTAAAAAGTTAGTTGCATATGTAAATAAAAACATGAGTATGTAGATGACTTGTTGCAAACACGTACCTACATTTGTTTTTATTATACCCGGTACTCGGGTACATATGTATGTATGTATATTGTATTTGTAGTCGAAAGTGGACAAAAGGAAACGTTACGACCCCACTAGGTATATATGTATATATTACTGATCAGCATCAATAGCCGAATAGATATAGCCGTGCCTGTCTCTCCGTACGTCTGCTCTTACGTCTTGATGAGCGCCTGCATATCAGAGACTATAAAAGCTCCAGCATCCAAATCTTGCATCCAGATTAATCCGCAGCATTTGCTGTAATATCACAGTGTTACAAGTGCATTTCAAATTTTTCGAAACTCTGTCATATCCACAATTGGGAAGATAAGGCAGAACTAAGAACTGGAGAGCTGACTGAGTTCCGGGTATAACAGTTGTGACGCGTGCGAAGCGTCTCACACGTTATTCAGAATTTTTAAGTCAGTGTATTGAGGACGTTTTCTGCTCTGAAATTGATACTTACCGATTTCGGGTGCAACCTTCTTTTAAAAATATTAATATTAAATATTAATACTAAACGAGAAGGGACGTGTGAGACGCTTCTTACGCGTCACAACTTTTATACCCGGCACTCAGTACTACTTCTGCACCTTAGCGGTGTTTTGTCAAATTTAACATTCTTCATCTGTCATCTACATCTAACACACATCTCACACCAACACGCTCCTTTAGCTCGCTCCCCTTCCCTAGACCCACACCCGGACAGACAGACATGGCTCTATCGACTCGGCTATTGATGCTGATCAAGAATATGTATACCTAATGGGGTCGGAAACGTTTTCTTCTGTGCGTTATTTACTCTTCGAGTACCGGGTATAACAAATAATATTATAGGACCATTTTAAAGCCCAATATCTTTTTAGTAAAAGTTAGTTTGCTGTCTTGAGGGAAAATCGTGTCGGGTAATTTAATTCATGTCCATCAAATAAAATTGGAAAATAAAATTATGTATATAAATAAATGTATATAAATAAAGCAAAAACCTTAATTGTTCCTAAAAACACACAAACATAAACAACTTTTCATTTCCGCGCCTAGGACCTTATAAGGAAGTTTCATTTTCTTGGATTATATTTTTTTAAACAATTAGGTCATTTTCATTCACAAAAGTTGGTGTTTTTAAGTTTTTGGTAGGTCAGAAACTTTAAGAGCACCCATCGTTTGTACACAAATCCACATCCACCCTGAATACCATTATATGCTTCAACTCTTCGACAACTGTGAATAATTAATATATACCTTTGCATATCATGAACGGACCAAAATGCGAACATAGATTATAACAGGTCGCAAATAGACGTACATTTTCTAATATGTGTACCATTCCTAATTTTCTAGTTACCAGAGTTGGTAAACAGTTTGTCTGAGCATGGTCAACTGCCGCTTCAAATGGCCCTATCGGCAAAAAATTACCAGATAGCTCAAACGCTTGTGGAAAACGGAAAAGCCAATATTAATGCGTTTGATGCCCAGGTAGGCACAAAATAAAATATAAAGCTTTCCTTTAAGTAAATATAAATTTTAACAGGGATCTACGCTACTAATAGATGCTTTAAAAAAAGGTGATGTCTTTTCAGCGAAATTTCTTTTGGACCACAACTGTCTTTTAGATCTTTTATCCAGGTAAAAAATCTCAGCTTTTATCGCATCCAATCGCTTAATATATAGGTGTGAACTTTCGTCTTTCAGACCCTCGTCTGATACAGCCCTTCATATCATATGCACTTACGCTGAGAGTCGGACTGAACGCGAGACATTTAAACAAATAAATGAATTAGGAAAACAAATTTTACAGCGCAAAGCCAACGTTAACATTCAAAATGTTCGGGGTGAAACGCCTTTGCACGTTGCAATCGAAAGCCAAAATACCATAATGCTAAGTCATCTACTTGAAGTGCCTAATATCGACATAAATATGCGCTCATTCGATGAAAAGTGCGCTCTTGAACTATGCTTAACGTTAGAGAACGCCGATTTCAAGTTGGCTCAAAAACTGCTCGAAATGGGTGCTCGAACAACTCATATAAAGTCTGCAACTGGAGACAGCCTGCTTCAGGTGCTCGTCATGGCCGGACAACGGTTCGAGGACGCCGCCATGTTTTTGACAGACTATGCAAGTCTCGACCATTTAAACTCTAGTGGACTGTCTGCTTTACATATGGCAGCGAGACAAAATATGCCCAACCTAGTAACAAAATTGCTCACAAACGGTGCGTCGTGCAATTTGCAATCAAATGAAACCGGGATGAAATCAGCTCTACATATGGCAGTCGAAGCCAATGCAATTGGTGCTATAGAAGCTTTTACTCAGCTGGAAATTAATGCAACTGAAGCTCTTGATTTCAACCGCAAAGATAAAAATGGCGACACGCCACTAGGCCTATCCTTAGCTCTGAATAGAACTCATTTAGCCCCCATTCTTATAAAAGGTGGTGCTGATGTCAACGCAAGAAATAGAGACGACTTTACCCTTTTGCATCAAGCAATACTCAACAGCGATAGTGGCACGGCATTATTTTTAATAGAGAATGGTGCAGATATAAACGCGGTGGCAGGTAAAAAAATGAATGAAAACACTCACAGGGTCTTTGACTTATTTTACTTTCAAATTTTACTCCATTTATAGGTAAAAAGGATTCTACGTTGCAGCTGTCTATTAAGAAAAACCTTCCAAAAGTCGTGGATGCCCTGTGCACACATGGAGTTGCACTGAATGCCGCCGATGGAAAAGGTGATGCACCATTGTGGACTGCTTTGGAATTGGAATTCTATGAAGTTGCGCAGGTACTTGTGCGCCATGGCGTTGATACAGACTGTTGGAGCGAAGGTCCTGAAAGATGCCAGCAGACGCTCCTACATCGCGCAATAGATGAGAACAAAGAGTCTATTGCTGTCTTCCTTATTCGTAGCCAATGTGACATGGACTCTGCCCGTCAGCCAGGACCGGATGGCGAAGGTGGAGACGAGGTTCGAGAAAAAGCATCCCCATTGCATCTCTGTTGCCAATGGGGTCTCACCAAAGTACTTCAGACACTAATTGATCATGGAGCTAATGTGAACGTACTGGATGCTGAGAAAAAAACGCCACTTCACATATCTATTGAAAACCAACATGAAGAGATAATAACTATTCTTCTTTGTCACCCTGGTATAGATCTAAAGTTACGTGATATTACTGGAAACACACCTTTCGCATCCGCCTTGGCCATACGCAACCACAAGGCCGCACAGCGCATATTAGATCGACTTCCTACGGCGGCGGAACAAATGGATCAACGTGGTCGCAACTTTTTGCATTTAGCAATCATGAAAAATGATTTAGAAAGCGTTCTGTTTTTGCTTGCTATACAAGTAGATGTCAATTCGCGTGTGCATGATGCCAACCAATCCACGGCCTTGCATCTGGCAGCTGCGTCCGAAAACGAAATGATCACTAGGAATTTACTTTTAGCTGGTGCCCGTATTAATGAGCGTGATGCTGTTCAGAAAATCCCGCTGCACATTGCAATCGAGCGGGGAAATATTTCAGTCGTATCGGCGTTGATCCAAAACAGTGCCGACTACGATGCACCTGATGCCGAAGGTAACAATGCCTTGCATCTGGCTGTGCGGGGTGGCCAACTTTCAATTGTGCGGGAACTTTTGACGGAGTCTAGGGTAAACGCTGAGGCAATAAATTTGAAAGGGCGCAATCCGATGCATGAACTGTGTCGTGTGGTGGAGGACAATACAGCCGCTGCCATTTGTGAGCTGTTTTTTGAGTGTATGCCAAAGTACCCCATAAATAGTCCTGACATGGATGGAAATACGCCGTTACTGCTCTCCTTCATGCGTGGCCAAGCGCCTCTTTGCAAAGTCCTTGTAAAGGCTGGGGCATGTTTAGGTACTGAAAATAGGGAAGGAATTAATATCTTTAATTTCAAATTAGCCACTGATCAACTTCTCCATAAGTTGTTGGACCAACTACCACAGGAGTCACCTTGGGCAGAGTCCGACTTGTGCCAAGAATGTACCACAAAATTTTCTATTACGATGCGAAAACACCATTGGTCAGTATTTTAAAACTAAATTGACATGAAATCTTTCTCATTTTTCTCGTTATATGTTTAATTAGTCGCCATTGCGGACGGGTCTTGTGCTCCAAGTGTTCCAGCAACGATGTGCCTATTATTAAGTTCGGAATAAATAAGCCAGTGAGGGTATGCAGCGTTTGTTTTAATGTGCTGCAATGTGGGAATGGAGCATTTTTGTAGTCATTCCAATTCTTTTACAAAAATATAATGCCATTTGTTAAGATGTTTAAATAAAAAATTTTGCATTAATATTTATTTTATGTACAAAAAACACTAATTAAAGGCTTTGCAGATTTCAGATTGCCTTGCCTACAGCGGAGTCTTCATTGGGTATTGAAATTTGTATTGAGTCACAAAAAGTAAACCCCAAGACTTGTACCAAACGTGTGAGTTCGACAAGATCTTGAAACTTTCGGATACAATTTTCTAAATTTTTGGAATACATGACGGGTAAAAAATAAATATAGGTCAGTTGGGAGCTAGAATGGTTTTATCTTGATAGACATTAGAGTATTAAGCTTTACAATGTATGTATGTATGTATGTACATATGTAGGCTAACGATATGAAGTTTAGCGCTTGACGAAAATTCGAACGGTGCACTGCGGTAAACCAAAGACAATACAATATCAGTTTTTCTGATATATATTCTGATAATATATTCCAAACATGACTTTTGATTGAGTCACAAAAAGTAAGCACCAAAATTTGTACGTATCGTGAGGGTTCGATCTTAAAGAAATCTTCGACAATATTAGGGAAGGAAGCATGAACGTGTATGACTAAATTTAGTTTAATATAATTACTAAGGAATTCAATATGCATCAAGGCATATCATTATTCTAATTTCCAGTCATTTGCTGAAGCATTTTTAAAGAAAAAGAAATTTCAATCAAACAATTTACGTCGAATATCTTCTGCTTTGAACAAATACGCACACTAACGCCCTTAAAGTCACTTTCGTGCTCACACATTTTATTTTCAGATTTTTACGCTCTCAGATTTAAACGACCGACAACGCGCCGGATTAAATCTAATTTAGTCGTACGTAAATCTTGCTTGCATATTTCCATTCAAAGGTATGGTCGCTACTCATCTTACTTTTATAATGTCTTTGCTTTCACCATCATTTTCTTCTTTCTAAGTCTAACTCAGTCCGCCGCAGTTTACCATTTTTGGTAAATTTCTTCATAATCGGGAATAAATTAAAAGCATAATAGTCGGCATTTTCGCCGACGCGTTTTCCTTCCACATCACGCCACAGTCGTTCAATGTTTTGGGTGTGAGCCTTTGTGGTTGAATCAACTAAATTTTTGGACCGAGTAAAATGGGATGCGCTGCAATATAAACAGTAGGGGTGCATATTGAGTTCATACTCACTGAGAGAGTATAAGAGATTCGCAAGAACTTAACTGAAGACTTAACTATCTTAAGAACTATTAAAGGCTTGGCTTCGCATATATGTAGTTTTTGACATGTTCATTTTCCTATCCACACGGACCGTGTGAATAAATCATGAATTTAAGCCGATAATGTTAAACTAATAAAGTGCCGCAAGTCTTAAAGCCGATTTCTTAAAATTACATATGTTGCTAGTTAATACCAAACGTTCCCCAAAAAGATCCCAGCAAGCGAGGATCGAAACAATTTAATTTTATTCAAGTTCGTTTTTTCTTTATACCCGGTACTCGAAAAGTAAATAGGGTATATTGTATTTGTGGGGAAAAGTTGATGTATATAAAGCACAGAAGAAAACGTTTCCGACCCCATAAAGTATACATATTCTTGATCAGCATCAATAGCCGAGTCGATAGAACCATGTCTGTCTGTCCGTCTGTACGTCTTGTTTGTCGGCTAGTTCTCAGAGACTATAAGAGCTAGAGCCAAAAAATTTTGCATCCAGGCTGCTATATGCTCACACTGAAACCAGCGTATTTCAAAAATTAGCTCCGCCCCCTTCCGCCTCCGCAAAAGGGCGAAAACCTCCAAAACCTACAGTTTTGAAGATAAAAGAAAACTAAAAACGCCTAAAAACGTGGCTAAACCCACCCTGTCCCGCAACTTTTGTTGTTCTGTTCACATGCTCTCATTCACACTCTGCTTCTGCTTCACTCGGCCTCTGCCTCTGCCGAATTTTAGCCCACCCCGTCCTGCAGCTTATATTTGTTTTTTTTTTGTGTGCGGGCGCTGCCTCTGTCGCGAGTCTGCAGTGTGTGGATCCCTGCATGAAGAAACTATAAGGAGGCCTCGTCGGCAACACTAAGCAGAAGGGGCGAGTGAAAAGTACAAGTGAGAGGGGTCTCGCTGCAAGTGTGGAGGGTTCATGCATGGACCCATGAAGAAACTATAAGGAGGCCTCGTCGGTGGCAGGGTTGGTTGCGGACAACATTTTAAAAAATTTTTTTTTTTCAAAACAAAGACTACTATCATGTAGCAAACTATTAAATATTAGATTATTAAACAATTATTATGTCTTTTCACATTGCCTTCAAATGAATAATCAGCACACTCCATTGTCGTTGCCGTCACACTTACAGCGAGAGCCCTTTCACTCGCACGTTCTGCTTCTTTTCTCCGACGAGACCTCCTCATACTTTCTTCATGATGCTGATGACAGATGAAGAAAAATAAAATTTGACAAATAAACGCTAAGGTGCAGATGAAGTACTGAGTGCCGGGTGCCTTTTATGGTCAAAATTGTGGCTGTGGGAGATTTTCGCCCTTTGTATAGGCGGAAGGGGGCGGGGCTAATTTTTGAAATACACTGGTTTCAGTGTGAGCATACAACAGTCTGGTGGCAAAATTCGGTGGCTCTAGCTCTTATAGTCTCTGAGAGTCTCAAACAAGATGAACAGACGGACATGGCTCTATCGACTCGGCTATTGATGCTGATCAAGAATATATATACTTTATGGGGTCGGAAACGTCTCCTTCTGTGCGTTACATACATCCACTTTGTGCACAAATACAACGTACCCTATTTACTCTTCGAGTACCGGGTATAAACATCGAGTGATGTGCTTACCTGATGACGAGCTTTGGATAACGTAGCCATGGAAATTCTGAGTGGGAGGAAAATGTCTGGTCACGAATGGCAGGTTACATTAAACCTTTGGATAAAGAATAAGGCTTCATTAAGCTTGAGTCAGCTCATGTATACCAAGGAACTCGTTTGTCTGAGTGAAGAAAATACTAGGAAGCCATTGTTGTTGAAGGAAATAGTTATACAAAATCAAGACAATGTACTCAGATTCAAAGGAATATTCAACTATTGTAACCAGGATTTTATTTAAGGCGCCCATTGTACACAGTGACGATAAAAGCTTTGAAAGCTACCAGTAACAGCTTTCATTTCATTTTGGTATAAAGCTTAACTACCACGCGTAATTCAGACGTATTATTTGCGCTGGGTTTTGAGGTGTAGGCAAGACCAAGGGGGTTAGTTTTCATCCAAATCATTAGATTTACGTTGAACAAACAAAATTAAAAACCATTTCAAACAAATAAACAACAAATCTATAAAATACGCAGGACTCTAAGCTCCGGTTTTCTATTCGTATTGTATACAAATGCATAAATATTACGATTTATCCTTGTTTCGTGTACTTTATTTATACGGTTTAGTGAAAATGTGAACATACATATGTACATGCACATATGTTAGTGAACGTGCTTACAGTCAAGTCCGAACATACAAAAATCTTTTGTTGCGGTTTTGTGAGAAGATTTGTGCAAGGCAGCAGCTTTGACAATCGGGGTTATCACTACTTCTGAACTCAGCTTTGTATGTGTGCAGTACAATACATATGAATTTATAAGCATACCTACATACATATTGCTTTTCTGTTTATTAATTTCTGGCGAGTTGTTATTAAAGTGTGCATATGTATACACAAAATATGTATGTACGTACGTTCGAATGTATACAAACTTTAAAGCTTGAATTGATTTATTTCGTCTCGGCCACAACTTTAAAGCAGACTACATATTTACAAACTTCAGTGTTTACTTACCTGTGTGAAAATGTACTCAATATAATATAATGATAATGATATCAATATAAATATAAGCTTATGTTTAAGTTTAGACCGTACTGCCAAACAAAACCATTGACAAATTACATCTAGTAAGTTACCCTCTTATATTATATTATTACACACTTACAGTTCAAATTCATAGCCCTAAAGACTTTACTCACATATAACAAAAGCTTGGCCATCGTACGAGATTTTTCCTATTTGAAGATTTTATGCAACCAAGTAAATTATTTTGTGTTGTAAATTTAAATAGTTTTGGCATATCCTTTAAAAATATACATTCGTATATACATAAGTATATGAGTTCATTAATCGATTTATGCTGGCTAGGGGGAAGCATTTGACCTTTTGATTAAATGTTGTGACACAAAAGCTTTAAACAGCGTGCCAAGGTTTATATTATTTATAGGATTCTATTTTGAAGCATGGTTTTCAAATTAAAGTTTAACTTTTCCATAAGCTGTAATTCGATTGCCTTTTAAAGGTCATCAAACGATAGGCTTGTGAACGTGATACATGATATTCTTATTGTGTAATCGTTTGACCATTTATTTGTGAAAATAAGAAAATGAATTAGTTTGGTTAGTTAGTACAAGACCTTACATACATATGTACATATGTATGCTATTGTATGTAATTTGATCCGGAGGATTAGTTTCATGGAAACAGGCCTCCGATGCGCCCGAGTATAAATGTTGCATTAAGGTTTCTGAGAGTTTCTCAATCTCTTCCTCGCCGTATCTTGCAGATGGATTGGACGTTACTATAGCGCACTAACTATCGTCATGTGTCTCTTCGAAGGAAAACCAGGCGGTGCTCTTTAGACTTGGGTGAATGCTTATTTTTGTAGGGACATAGATACGGTTTTAATGAATTCCTGTTGAGAATCGTTGATAACTTTAAGATACTAGTGGGATGACTTACTGCTTACTGGTATTGGTCCACGGGCAAAGGAACATCGATGGGAATGAAGACGCCAACGAAGTAGCCAGGTGGCTTAGCATCCGTTTAGTTTCCCTAGGTTTGTAGTTTAGCTGGTTTAGCATAGATATTTACGTCTCTAAGAGGAAGGGATTGAGAGAGAGGTTTTCGAATGTTCATCTTTCGGGCAGGCCAAAACTACATACCACCCCTTTGGTAAGAAAATTATCTGACAACAAATTATAGACTGTATTTAATCCCAAACTTTTTTATTTATAGGGGTTTGGAAAGGGTAGATCAAATATAAATAACCTTTGAACCTGTCAGGCGCTTTACAGCTTTTATACCCGGTACTTAGTCAGTATACATTTACATATGTATGTACCTTATGGTTTTTTTTTTAAACTATATTTTACATTTTAAATTGTTTCTTCATCTACATCTGTTCTCACGCCCACCCCTTCTTTTAGCTCGCCCCCCTGCGCGAAACCCACCCACTGCACGAGGCAGATCGTTAAATGAGAGAATGTGCAAAAAACTAAAAAGCTGCTGCTAATAATGACTGAATCTGACTCAATTCGGCGATCTGATAGATATGGTCCTTTGCTACGGAATGGCATTTTTATTATTCTTTTATCTTCAAAATTGTGGATACCGCAGATTTTCGCTTTTCGCAAGGCCGGAAAAGGTCGGGGCGAAAATTTTAAATACACTTGTAAAAGTGTAAGCATTCAGCCAGCTGGGTGCGAAATTTGGTGGCTCTAGCTTTTATAGTCTCTGAGATCTAGGTGCTCAACAAGACGGAAGGACAGAAGGACAGACATAGACTCGGCTATTGATGCTGATCAAGAATATATATATACTTTATGGGGTCGGCAACGTTTTCTTCTCTGAGTTGTACATACATCCACTTTTCCACACAATACAATATACGCTATTTACTTTTCAAGTACCGGGTATAAAAAAACCGCCATTTTATTTTGAGCTTTCTTCCACTTGTAAAAGGCTTGTGTTCGCCAATCCACGTTCCGTGGACGGTCTTGATCATTATATAAAGATTGGAGTTTAGAAACAGTTGTGGTGCATACAAATCAAGTTGCAAGTTGTAAAGCATTTCCTATGATGGAAAACACACTAGATTTTGATAAATTGTTCCGTTTATTTCATATAAATAGAGCTCTATAATTTTTAATCAAGATTCATATATAGTATAATTATAACTTATCTCATCAGGTACTACAAAAGCAAAAGAGAGGCAGCATTTGGAATATAAGATTTTTAGCTGTAACAGCCTTTTAAATTTTCGCCTCAGGTGCATTGTGGTTTCGATTAGTTCTATTACCTCGCCGTAAGCCAATTGAAAGCATGGTTTCATATACTCCAGATATGACTGTTTATCTTCAATGCAAATTTGCATCCCATGAAGTACGTCAGCCATTTTACCAAATATGCTTCCCAAAAGAGCGCGAAAGCTTTGACAAAGAGAAAGGATGGGTTTCATAGTGATATTGCAACAGCTGTGCAACTCAATCGTACTGATTTGTATCACATTGTCCACAATCTGGCAGGTAGTACTGAGTATTTGAGTTTGGTTGAAGTACCTTATGTTATCTCTAATATTAGCGGTCCATTGCTCCAAGTCTTCGGATTGGTTCATAAGGCTTTCGTTTAGTCCGTGGACCGTTCTTCCAATTCCATCGGTCAAATAGTCAAATGGTTTCTGAGCGCCTTTCAGTTGCCCAATGCCAAATGTTGGAAATACTTGCTCCACAATGACTGTACCCACGTTGGCAATCTCCATCACGATATCTCCAAGTGATTTCAATACATCGACAATAAGAACGTCCAGCTCAACCCCACTTGGATTTTTGCGAAGGCTTATACATATAGTTAACCTTTGTACAGCCGCTTTCAATTCAGACAAAACCCTCATTATCTCGAAGACTGCATCAGTGTCATTATTCCGAGAAACGCTTGTTTTACCGAGAAACGATTTTTCTTCAGCCGACTGAACAATAGTCAGTAATACAACGAATAAGAAAATAAATATTTTCAAAATTAGCACAGCTTTTAATAGGGATCCCATTGCACTAGATCAATATAAACAACTGAATAGTCTGTAAATGCAGCTTAGTTACGATTTAATGATAAGAACATTTTGAATACTTTGAGGCACAATGTTTATAAATAGCTATCAATACAGAGCCGTTCTGATGAACTGAATGTATGTATCTGTATTATAATTATATATATTACATACATACATGTATACATGGTATATTTAAGGTCAGTGGATTACTTGATAAGAATACTGCAATCTCTTTGAAATTACCTTTTAAGGGTGTGAGGCACAAAATAGTACTTTACATTTTCTTATTCCTTTGTCTGAGAATAATATGAATCCTTTGTTGGACGAAACATAAATTTATTTATGTTCCCTGTTGTGGACACCCCTAAAAAAATATATAAATAAAAAACTAAATATTATTATAGTTTTTAACAGTACTCGTCGTAATCAAAAAGATAGTGCCATCTTGCATGTGAACTAAAATCAATTTTTGTGGATTTAATTACTTTTCTGCTGGACGGGGACTGGACTGCAAATGAATTTCTACATTCTAGTCTAATCAATCTAATCTCAATTTGGTGTCCTGATAGATATGGTCATTCCGTGCGGAATGGCATTTTTAGTTTTCTCTTATCTTCAAAATTGTGGCTGCAGCAGATTTTCGCCGTTTGTGATGGCGGAAGGGGCGGAGCGAATTTTTGATATACACTTGTATCAGTGTAAGCATAAAGCAGTGTGTGGGAAAAATGAGGCGGCTCTAGCTTTTATAGTCTTTGAGAACTAGCTTACAAACAACACTGACAGAGGGACGGACAAACAGACATGGCTGTGTGTTACACTAAATTTTGCATCCAGACTTCTGTATGCTCACACTGTTACAAGTGTATTTCAAAAATGTAGATTTGGTTAAAAACGCAGACACATACTACAAATTCCAACACGACAAGGAACAAGGAAACACTTAACATTTTTGGACAAAACTCATGTATTCCAATTAAATTTGTTCAAACCATTTTATAATTTTTTTTCCCAAGTTGTATACTCTCATTGCGCATTACTCTCGCATTTCTCTCAAGATTTAAAAAAATCACATTGCCATGTTGGTATATATTTTGCGATAACTTTATTGAAAAGTAAATAATTTACCAAATTGGTATATCATTTCACTTTTCATTACTTATACTATTACCATTATCGCATCAAAGAGTAGATTCTTAAGAAAAGTTCTTCCATAAAGCCTTCCTTATATATTAATCTACCTAAAAAGAAATAGTTAAGTCTCGGCTATTATTTTTTATTTTAATAAAATATTTTAAAGTTTAGCAAAGATCACAAGCACGATATGTGCAAGAGTAGAAGAATGAAGGAAAAAATACTCGAATTAAGAGAGACAGAGCTATTTAGCTTATATCTTATGCATAAAGATATGCATATCTTATGTTTCAGTCCGATGATGCCTACTTCGGTCAAGCGGAAGACGTTGTGGCCGAAAATTTGCCAGAACTTCAGGGTGGAACCGGTTTACCCAATCACTTGAATCTCCGTTCAATGCGAAGTGAGCCAAACTCTCAGCCGAAGCCATCAGCTACATTTTTGTTATTTGTTAACAACCAGAGAACTTTACTAATAAAAGTTACAACATCAGCATTTATAAAGAACCAATATTTATTCAAATGTGCGTACTAAAATAAAGTCAAATTACATTTTATGCAAACATTTTATCGAAAATCTCCGACTTCTTGATAAATAAAGATGTCATTCAGATTGAGTAACTATGTACTTACAAAGAAACGAAGAATTTGTTATATTAGATATTACATTTAAAATGCCTAATATTCATTTTCATTTTCCATCAAATAAAATAAAGCAGGATCTTAATTCTGATTTTATTTGATTGTAGGGAAAGTCGTTTGGTAGGCAGTCACTGAGAGGCTCCGTCGATTTTGTAGTGACATCGTCATAACGGATTTGGCTTTGTCGGTAAAATCTCAAATTTGAAGAGCGACCTTGTTTAGTTTTTATATCCAGATACATTTCTAGTTCTTCGAGCTTACTGAAGAGACTTTCAAAATCCCTGTCGGCATTTTGGAGAAATTGGCATCGTATTTCGTAACTTTTGAAGATAAAACAGTTGAAAAGTCGTTGAATTCGGAACTCCAGCTGCCTCATTATATATTTTGCATTTGTCTTTGTCACAGCGTACACGTCATATGCGACGTTTAGTTCATGGCCAGCCGCGCATTTCAATACCTGCGCGGAATGATATTGTAAGAAGTCCATGTACATTTTGCAGCACTCAAAGTCAAGCTTCAATTTCCAGTCCTGTAGTATGAAACTCTGAACATCGGCGAAATGGAGGAATACTCGTTGAACAGCACGCAGTGTTCCCACAGTATATTCTAATGCTTCGTCCACAATTTCGGAAAACATAATATGAAAGAACTCCATCTCCGAAAAATAGTTTGTTAGCAGAATCTTTACCTGTGTGGGCTGTGCTGCAGGGACTTGTCGTAATTTCAACAACAATGCATAGCTTGAGTTCTTTATTAGATCATAGAACTTTTCGCTTTCTTGTGCAAATGTACTAGCAGAATTGGAAGCATCAAGGAAAAATGTTGACAATTCAGTCATCTTGGTGACATAGTTCTCCGATCTAGATGCAGATGTTTGAAAGTCTCTAAATACCGTAGATGTCGTAAGATTCTTTTGTAGATTTTCCAAAAAGTGCTGCAATCGATGCTGCAGCTCGATCTTACTATTATCCGAACTTATGATAGCTTCATAAAATTCCAATGGTATCTGCTCTCCTCGAATGGTACGAGACTGGGGCATATGGCTATTTTCTGACAGGTGTCGGATAATATTAAAGTTCTGACAATTAATGAGCCACAAAAAAAAGCTATAGACGATCGAAATTGAAAAAAACCAAGTCATTGTACCAAATCGAATAATAATCTAATACGTCAAGACAAAGCGCGAGAAACACTAAACCTTCGCAAACAGAAGTAAAGTAAATGATTGAAAAATCGCAGATGCCATATAAATATATACACTTTTGTCTACCATTTTTTTTGCAGAGAGCCAGGGTATATTAAGTTAATGCAAATCAAGGCATCAATTCAAAACAAAGAATTTAATCTACTTTTAATCTACTTTTTTTTTAATCATAAGTCGATGCACATGTGAAAAATTTCCATTTATTATATAAATTTCGTTCTCTAATTGTGAACGCGTTGCTTAGATATTTAGTGCCATTTGAGTAAGTGGTATTTTATGGTTGGAATACTCAAAAAATACATTGCTTCTCATTTCAACAAAAAAAAAGTTATAAATAGCACAAATAAATTAAAAGATGTAAACACATTCTCCAGCGATTTCCACCTTCCAACTACAAAATATTTGTATTCTGTATTGTTTTTTGTATGCTGCACATCTTAATTCATACATTTCGTGAATAAAATTTGAATGTAAATGCATTTACCTTTGTTCGACAAGCTAAATTCAAGTTTTAAGGTTTGTGATTGAGACTATATGACGATAAATAAAAACACAATGCAAAGCAAACTGCGAAACGTATGCTTAAATACTTTTTAATTTTCTTTTTATTATATCGTATTTTGTGTTTAAGTCTGTGTATTTGGTATTTATCTGATGATCGGCACCAACAGACCGTTGAAAGCCCCTGAGAACTTTGTTAAAATATTGGCCAAATAAAAGCATGATCCAAAAAAATTATACAAATCGAGTCATTACTATGAGTTTATGTCTCTGCCAGAAAAGGTACCTCGGTACTTTGTATTTACAATGTGTTTTAATAAAACCATAGTTTTCATAAAACTTTAACCAGTAATGTAATGTTCTTATTCTCAACAATCTTTCCAGCTCAGCTTCAACCAAATTGAAATGAAATCAGTATAGTAAATACCAAGAACATTCGAAGACTTAAATAATGATGTTCTGGATAAATACTAAACCGACCATCAGCTTCTGAAGATTTATAAAAAATATGGACTCTGTACAACAATCAAAAAAAGCAGCTGGGAATGTAGAAAATAATGAACATGTTCTTGCTTTTGCCGGGGCGGCAAGTTATGAAAGTGGACGTGAAGCTCAACATTTTTGCGAGGATGAGGAATACATTATTGTGGATAAAGCACAGAATGGTTGTGAATACACAAGACTCGAAAAAATGGGAAAGGAGCAAACACCGCACAAAAAATTACAAGATATTAGCCTTGAATCTGAGGAATCAATGGAGCGGCACCCAAGTGGTGCAAAGCCAAAAACTCGAAATATTTTAGATGATAAAAAAATAAAAAGTTGTCTGTCTGAAAATATTTCTCTTACTAATAGTAACCCGCAGATAGGCAAGTACTTAGAAGGTAGTAAGAGATTGCATGATGTAGTTAAATCAAAAGATTGCTGTGATCTTCGTCAAAGCAATATTGATGGTCTCCAAAACATGCCTAAATCAGAATATCCACAACTAAAATGCGTATATTCACGACCAATGTTTCTAAAATCACAGTCGTTGGATTTGTACAATGAGCCAATTAGCTTCCAAATAACACAATCTCGCCTCTTACCAAACATTAGTGAGAACTATTCCAATGATAATCAAATCAGAACAGCACAAGATTCAGATCCTGTATCTGAACTAACAAAGAGTATCGACCATTTATTAGATTTGAATGGCGAAGAACTTGATAAATCTACATGTGTGGTTATGTCTTCAGCACAGCAGCCCAATATTTCTTTAAATCTTCAATCAATTGAAACTCGACCCATCTATCCGAATGTTCCATACAGTCCGTATGGGAGTCCTTTTGGCAGTCCTCGATCCAATCGACGTCGACCTCCTCTCCGCGAATCACGGAGAATATCAATAGAAAAATCTGGAAGCTTTCTTCAATTAAACCAATACAAACTAATGGACCAAATTGGGCAGGTAACCAAACTTTTTTTACTTTCCATGAATTTAGTTGTATTGATCAACTAGTATACCCGTTCAGAAGGTCAAAAGTCAACAATGCAAATTAGTGGACCACAAAATTTTATATTTAGAAATAAAAAAAAACATATGTACGTATATTCAGCACAAGATCGGCTAGAATATATCACTCGTAAATGTTATAGCTATCGTACATGGGATCGATCAATCTGCGAGGGTATGTGTAGCCCATTTTTTTATTGAAATTTTTTATTGTAGGGCTCTTATGGACTCGTAAAATTGGCCTACTCTGAAGAAGACTCAACCCATTATGCGATGAAAATTCTTTCAAAGAAGCGACTTTTGCGACAAGCTGGTCTAATGCGCCGAGGTCCTAAGAAAGCAACTTCTCCGCTGGATCGTGTGTACAGAGAAATCGCTGTTTTAAAGAAGCTTGATCATCCCAACGTTGTCAAGTTAGTGGAAGTATTAGATGACCCGATCGAGGACTCCTTATATATGGTTTTCGAATTGGTAAAACAAGGCGAAGTTCTTAGAATTCCAACAGACAATCCATTGGCAGAAGAGCGCGTATGGAGTATTTTTCGAGAAACACTACTCGGATTGGAATATTGTAAGTTTTTCTCTGAGAAAAGGTTTCATTGGGTTAAACGAGTTTGAAAAATGCACGGTTTTAAGGTTGACCCTTTTACATCAATCAGCACAATTCGATACACCGATTACAAAAAAACAAATTTAGATGGCTTTCGTAAAATTATATAAGAATGAATTATATTTGCGCTCGAGGTGGAATAATGTAACGCAGAGAAGGAAACGTTGCTGACCATAAAGTATATTCATAAAGCATCAAGAGTCAAGTCTATGCCTGTCCATCTGTTTCTTCCGATTTGATTAGCGTCTAGATTTCAGAGATTATAAAAGCTAAAGTAAAAGCTAATACACCATTAATATTGTATTTCAAAATTTCGGTCCGCCCTTTCCGCCATAAAAAAAAAGAACATCTGGTGCATCCACAATGCATTGGCCTCTGGAGCTAAAAGCGCGTGTTGGCGTGAGAAGTGATGTTCATATGTAGATGTAGATGACATTTGTAGAAAAATTTAAAAGTTGAAAAAAAAAACACTAATGTCCTACTGAGTACCGGCTATAAAAGTTGTCACGCGTAAAACCGTCTCACACGTCCCTTCTCGTTTTTATTATGCAGTACACTATCAAAAAATAATCCACGCGGATATAAAGCCTGGAAATTTGTTGTTAACGGAGTGTGGACACATAAAAATAGCAGATCTTGGTGTCTGCAATGAATTTCTTGGGCAGGATGCTGTAATGAGCAATGGATCTACTGCTGGAACCCCAGCTTTCAGAGCTCCCGAGACGCTCATCTTAGGCCAGGTATGCACTATCGGTTGTATCATAAGTTGTTATTATATTTATGTATTTGTTTTTGCTTTACTTTTACAGAACGTGTACTGTGGACGAGCATCAGATGTCTGGGCATTAGGTGCAACACTGTATGCCTTAGTTTTTGGCAATGTGCCTTTCTTAGCAGATTCCATTCCCTTGCTCTATGAAAGAATTCAACAAGACCCCTTAGTGTTTCCAAAAAAGTTAACAGTTAGTGAAAATCTGAAAAGCTGCATTTTGTTAATGCTAGAAAAAGATGCTACTCGAAGAATAACAGTGCCAGAATTAAAGGTTGTAAAAATATTGTTCTGTAGTATCATGAAAATAAGTTGTTTTTTTTACATTTTTAGATAAACGATTGGGTTACCTCCAATGGCTCTTACCCATTGCCCACTGAAGAAGAAAACTGTTGTCTTGTACAAGTTGATGAAGAAGATATAAACTCCGTTGTCCGCAGCATTCCAAAGTTGGACACTCTTATATTAATAAAAACAATGTTAAAAAAACATTCATTTGGAAATCCATTTATAAAAGGGGTATCTGGCAAGGCACTTCAACCAGGCGGCTCTCGACTAGAAAGATTTGTACGCGCAGGACGATCAAACTCAGCTCCGGGCTCCTACCATATGTCAGTAGACAGGTACAGGTACGTCCTTCTGAACATGGAAAAATGTTACATGTAATATTTAAATGAATCAATTTTTCACAGGCAACCATCCACGGAATCCTTACTTCCATCTTTAACAGAACATTCTACTAGTAAAATTAATGAAGATACTTAGATTTATTAAAGTTAAAAATATTTCACTTTGTTTTTTGTCATTAACGAGCATAGCATCCAAAAAGCAACACAGTTGCAGTAGAATGTAATTAATGTACATATGTTCACACACATGTACATAAATAGCTTTTATTGAAACTGTTTTAGCTGAAATAGGCCATGGAATTTTTTTTTATCTTAAGGTTTTTAAAAAGCAAATTATGAATTGAATTTTGTTACAGTTAGTTTATTTCTGTATAATATATAGTTTATATTTTGGACAGTTAGTTTATATTTACTTATTTCATGTATTCCTTGATAAGATTGCTGAAGCTATTCATTTTGAAATATGTCTGGATATTATACAACCAAATATAAGAAATCTTACAATTACAGCTTTCTAGAAGTTGTAAGATCAGAAAAGAGGCACTTATTAAGTTTTAATGAAATAGCAAATACAGATAAAATGAGATAGAAAAACTGGGAAAAAACTTTTTGGGACCATTTTACATTTAAAAACACACTTAGACAACGAATACGTTAAGGTAAATTATAATTGGCTACAGTTACATAAATATATATCTCTATCATAATTATGGATTCTTCCAAGAGATATTGTGATTTCAATTAGCACATACTCATAGATGAATAGATTTATAAATTTGAAACTTTTGTAAAAAGAGATCAATATTTTTAAAGCATATTTCATATGTTAGTTATACTTAATTGGATTGACTCCCATTGGTTTATTCTCATACAAATGATTTAATAAAATGTTCGTTTGTCTGCCTAAAACTTAACACAATTTATATAAACCGGAATATACTCTGTTATTTTGTTTTTAACCGATTTCCGATTGTTTGAACTATTTGAGATATGTTGTTTACTGGTGGGTCCATACTGATACAAATGCATTGATGATAAATAATAAAAATCATTGCCACGTTTTTGGTTATGAATACGAAACCTAATCTCGTTAGTACCCGTTTCATACTTCAATGAGACTATTGTGAGACCAATGACTTCAATATATTATACATCGGTTGCAGAAATTTGAGAAGCTACAATCGACGGATTTTTTACGAACTACTAAACTCACGATCAAAGAGATATTCAAAGTTTTAAAGACTATTGCACCAACAAGACGACTTGGCATCAAAATATAAAGGGAGGTTCAATTTTGAGGACAAATTTTTTTGATAACCTTGGTTATTTATAACTCTACCCAACCCGATTTTGGCTCAAGCTTAGAAATGTTAGAAAAGGTAAAAGTGTAAGTGTACATATGTAACACACAGAAGAACACACGTATATATTCTTGATCAGCACCAATACCCGAGTTCATAGAGCCAGTCTGTCTGTCCGCCTGTTCGTCTTGTTTGTGGGTTAGTTCTCAGAGACTGTAAGAGCTAGAGCCATCAAATTTTGCCTCCAGGCTGCCTAATTAAATTAGCCTAATTTTTCTACGAGTAACTAAGGATGGAAGGCCCATTAGAAGTAATCTACCACGGTAGGATGGCAGTCTCTCAGTTGCATCCCAGTTGAGGCCACGCAGGGAAAAAGTAAAAAGTTTTTCTGCACTGCAATACGGTCCTAATGTGTGTAGTATTGAGGGCTCCACACACATGGGTCGTATTCTAAAATCGGACGAACATGCGCGATATAGAGAGTCTCTCATTATTTAAGGGTCATCAAATTCCTTTGACCACCTCTTTTTAAACCCAAGCATGGCTTAAATGTGTTCAAAAACTTTAACATGGGCTCTAGTTTAACACCAAGATCATCAACTAATATAATTCTCGCTAGAGAACTACCGCAGACAACTACTGTTGACAATATTCTCGAAAGTGTTTGAAAAAATACTATTGAAGAGAATGTTGCCAATTTTGGACGAACTTTCCATCATTCCTGAATACCAATTCGGATTCAGGAGGGGTCACGGGGACCCCTGGGCAATGTCACAGGGTTATTAATGATATAGTTTCGGCATTTGAAAACAAAAAAATACTGCACTGCTGCATTTCTTGATGTTCAAAAAGAACAAGATAAAGAAATGGCTACCTGCTCCGTACTATTTATTAATCAAATCATATCTGGCTAAAAGATGCTTTTACGTGCAGCAGAAAACCGATAATTCATCACTACTTCTCATCAACGCAGGCGTCCCACAAGGAAGCGTATTGGGACCAATTCTCTACACCCTATATACGGCCGACATGCCAGTTACAAACAAATGCACTGTTGCAACATATGCTGATGATACAGCCGTTTTAGCCACAAGCACATCTATAAATGAATCTTCCGAACTCCTGAAAATTGAGCTAAGCCTAGTTGAAGACTGGTTCCTTCGATGGAAAATTAGAATCAACTCCCTGAAATCCGTCCAAATAACGTTTTCATTAAGACCAGGTAACTGCCCAAATGTTACACTTAATGCTACACTCACCAATTCCACAAAGTACCTGTGTGAAGTATCTCTATCAACAACTTACACTTAAAACACTAAAAATGTCCTGGTTGATAAGTCGAAAATCAGAAACCACTTTGGAAAATTCGCCTCTACAAATCCATACTGAAGCCTGTTTGGACCTACGCTATACAGCTCTGGGGGACTGCTAGCAACTCAAATATTGTCACATTGTCAATGCTCCGTTTTACGTATCTAATGCAAATATCCACAAAGATCTTAATATTCCAACCATTAAAGAAGAAATAAACCCTTAAGTCTATTAGACAATAGCTTAACAGTAAGAAGACTGAAAAGATACCACATTCTCGATATCCCTGATAGATAAATCCAACAATTTGAAAAGATGTTATATATAATAGCAGGGCTCATTGGAAAACTGCTATTTCTGTTCATTTAATATTAATTATACAATTTACTTATTGTTTAAACAAACAGATTGTAAGTATAAAGAGAGAGAAAAACAAAAAAAAAGACCTAGAACACAGGTAGCTAAAAATCCATCTCAAAAGATTTGGCGGAAAACCTAGAAGGTTAAGTTTTTGTGCAAGAAGTGAATGGTTTGCAGAATCGAATGCCTTACTGAAATCAGTGTAAAGAACATTAACCTGCAATTTACCTTGGAAGCCTTTAATGACAAAGAAGGTGAATTCTAAAATATTAGTAATAGTGGTTTTTGATTATATCACCTTGTAAATCCGTGCTGTGCTGGAGATATAAGTGATTTGCAGAGATGTTGCAAGTGCGGAGATTAAAATTTCTCAAACATTTTAGGAATAGCAGATAACTTTGATTAGATTAACTATTTTCTTTTGCGTCAGACTTGCTACGTTTCTCATGGAGAGGAGTTATAAAAGATTCCTTCATCAGGACCCGGTGAAAATACCGTCTTTACTTATCGAAGACCATGAAGCAGTGAGCTTTAATTTAACAAAGGGCAGAAAATGTGGTTGGGGCTTGATAAACTGTATGGATACACATGACCAGAGTAGCTTTTCAGGAAATAATTTGTTTGAAAAAAATGTGATTATTGTTTCCGACTTATTCAGAAATGATAGGGAGGATGAAGTGCGGACTTTGTACGCTTACTGTTTACAAAGCTTTTAAACAGCTACAACTGTTCAGGGTTCTATGAAAAGCGTATCCTGCTTCGAAGTAGGTAGTTCCTAAAGTTCCTAGCATTGAGCATTAAGAAAAGTGAAACTTGACCGAGCTTTTAAATAACGAGAAAGAGAAGAGACTATTTTTCATCAAGACTTTTTCTTGATTTTAGGTTCTTTAGACTGGATAACTCTTTGGTGAACCAAGGAGGCTTCTTAGATCTAATCGGAAACAAGAGTGGGACACACTCGAAAATTGTGTCAAGAACACTGTACAAAATGTTTGTGCCTTCAATAAAGTCAGAGCTTGAGCTTCATAAACTCGGCTTTACAAAAGCAGCGGACGTCCAAAATATACCGGCACTTCGAAAGTAGGATGATAGCAGTCTTCAGGAAGAGTGAGAGGAAGCGCTCGTGTTAGCAACGCAACGGTCGGATCCGAGACAAAGCACATATCAATCAATCGACTAAGGGAATTTTTCACATGGTTCACTTAAGACAGGGACAGTTCTAATAAGCCATCAATAAAGTCATGTTGTGACATGGGCACAAGGTTATTAACTCGTTTACCAAAGACCAAAAAGTACCTGGCAAGTATAAATCACAAAGAACAATTATATGGCCTTTATCAGATAACGAGGAAGAAATAGTTTATAAGGCGGATATGCCGTATATTAAGACATCCGAAGTCGGTGGAATATGCGAGCAAGTGATATAAATAAAATGGCAGGAAGAATCAGTCGTACACAGAGGAATTCCTGGTCTTGCGAAACCTGGACTCCGACGTGAAGTAAGAGTCCAATAATATAGAACCCCTCCTCCACGTCGAAACGAACGATCATTCCTAAACATTGTGTTCCGATCTGCCAAAACTTCGAAATTAAGAATGTTCGTCTTTAACCAGGTTTCGGTAAACACAATAACCTGGGATGAAAATGTAAAAATATTCATGAAAAGTGTGCTCAGATTACTACGTAAGCCGCGAGCATTTTGATAAGCTACAAATAAAGAATTATGGTGAATTTCTGAGCACAGCCTTTCAATAATTAGACGCAATAAAGGAAAGTGTCGATATGGATGCTGTCGCGTCCAGTATGTAACTCATGGACAGCGGCGCATTCTTCCGCACTCCGCACTATAACTAAATCATTGTAACATTGTAAATGTCAATGTATAATAATATAAGGGTATAAACAAGGAAGGAATCAACACGTGGGCCAGCTCTGCTTGCCCACTTCTTGCTTGCTACAACTAGCCGCTACTTTTGATCCCGTTCCTTTAGCAGCATAGCCTTTTACGTTTTTGGCAATCATTATAAGTATCCCTTGCTTTTTGGGCACCGGCATTCGGTTCAATCCTTGGTCCAATCCGTTTCCATTATCTATTAATGAGCTGTCCCGAGTACCGAGAACCGAGTAAAAGTTCAAGAAATTATAATATCCACATAATCAGTTTCCGTTCGAACGTATTAACAAGATTAAAATAATAGAAATAATCTATTTTTCAGGAAAACAACCGCCGTTAATATATCCGGTACTTGAAGAGTGCCCGTTCCCGGCACGATAAAGTATACATACATATGTATATGTACATATCTTCTTGATCAGCATCAACAGCCAAGTCGATATAGCTACATATGTCCGTCCGTCCTGATGAGCGCCTAGTACTTCAATACAGACTGCTGTAATATAATCACACTGTTAGAAGTGTCTTTTAAAATATCGCCCGGCTTCGTGGAGTGATCGGCTCTGGGGGAGGTTGTCGAGCTAAACAGTCGTGATGTCGTGAGAAGTGATGTAGATGTAGATGACAGATATAGAAAAAATGTAAAATGTAAAATGCGACAAAATCAAGGGTATACACCGAAAGGACGGACTAACCCAAACCACCACGAAACCAGAGTAGCGATCCACTGCTAGGTCGAGGGGTATACCAACCAGGAACCCCTCAACAAAATCTGGTTCCACACGTAACCTCTCCGCCAGGCGTGTAAGACGAGGACGACGAGTCTTTAGCGCGGAAACATACCACCTCATCGCCACGCCATGGGGTATGTGGGTAACCCAGAACTGTCGTATGATCGTGGACATTGGAAACCCGCCGAAGCCCTTCGAGACGTCACCGCACAACGCGACCTACGGGAAGAAGTTCATACTCATACCTCAAAAAAACGATGGCACATGTCCCGCCCCGGAATCGATGCCTAACCTAATCAGATGGGAATCCGTGTCCGCACTAGAGCCTGAAGTTTGACACCGCTTCCGACGAACAAACCGGACGAACCCGGAATACCGAAACCCAGCACCGATCCAGTATCCCTGGTCCCCCTGATCCCGCTGAGGACCTCGACTATCTTCTCCAGATTATCGTTTTGGAGTTGACCATTGATGAACTCCTCCAGGAGGCCGACAGACCCCGGTCGCGAGGAGATCCCGCGTCTCTCCGTTGATTTTTATGAGCAATAACTTAAACGACGCCTAATTAATAAGCTTACACACAAAAATTATAAGGACACTCTATATAGATTAGGTTTTTGCAGCTCAGGCTCTGCATGAGCATAAATAAAAACGAGAAGGGACGTTTGAGACGCTTCTTACGCTTCAAAGCTTTTATACCCGGTACTCAGCACTACATCTGTACCTTTGTGGGGGTTTTTTGGTCAAACTTTACATTTTTTCTTCATCTTTCATCTACCTGTACAACACTTCTCACGCCAACACGCTTCTTTAGCTCGCCCCCCTTCCCTAGAGCCACACACTGCAGAGGCAGAGGCCGCACATTGCAGAAGCACATTGTGAATGAGAGAATGTGAAAAAATTAAATATAAGCTGCGGGATGGGGTGGGTTTAGCCACGGCAGAGGCAGAGGCCGCGCTTCAGAAGCAGTGTAAATGAGAGAGTGTGAAAAAAATACAATAGCTGCGGAACAGGGTGGAACAGGGAGGCCCCTGCAAGTTAATTTCTTAGTTCTGGCTATAATCTGGTGATCGGATATATATGGTCCTTCCCTACGGAATGGCGTTTTTAGTTTTCTTTTATCTTCAAAATTGTAGGTTTGGGAGGTTTTCGCCCTTTTGCGGGGTCGTAAGGGGGCGGGTCTCATTTTTGAAATACACTTGTAACAGTCTGGATGCAAAATTTGGTCGCTCTAGCTTTTATAGTCTCTGAGAATCAGGCGCTCATAAGGACGGCTTAACCCACCCCGTCCCGCAGCTTTTGTATTTTTTTTACATTCTCTCATTCACACTCTGCTTCTCGCAGTGTGGGCCTCTGCCTCTGCCGCAGTCTGCAGTGTGTGGGTCTAGGGAAGGGGGGCGAGCTAAAGGAGCGTGTTGGTGTGACAAGTGTTGTAGATGTAGATGAGAGAAGAGAAAAATTGTAAATTTGACAAAACACCGCTAAGGTGCAGATGTAGTACTGAGTGCCGGGTATAAAAGTTAAGACGCGTAAGAAGTGTCTTACACGTCCCTTCTCGTTTTTTATAAATTTTGATTAAATTATCTTCTTACTCCCGCCTGGAATGGGCCAGTAATGTCCAGGCAGGTCCGCTGCCAGACAGAAGGTCCCAAGCCTCAATAGGACAATTCTTTAACCACTTGCTCTCACTTTGCTCTGGTTGCCGGTATCGCATTTATTACAATGCATTTTGCATTTCCCCATAAGATTTCGATAATATTCAGATCCAAGGACTGAGTTGGACATGGCAAAACACCGATCTTTTCGAATGAAACCCGATTCTTGGCGAGCTTTCTTGAGTGTTTCGGACCATTATCCTGTTGAAAGATCCCTTAAAGAGGTATTATTAGACTGAAATATGAATGAAATGTATAAAAAAGTAAGCTGGCCCAAACATTTTGTGAAATATTCTAACGTCAGGCTATGAAGTACCACTTCATATGGGTTGGAACTCATAGGGCTCAACCCAACATGCCCAATACTGCCAATAAAACAATTTGGGCACTAATCTGATGTCTGTGAACGTCAAACAAATTCTTTTTGTTGTTTCTTACCATATAATAAAACTTTACACTCACCAGTCAAGTTTTTTTTTTCACGGTGACACAGCTCAGCCACATGCGATTTGCAAACTGTAGCTACATACCCCTATACTCTCAGCACCAAACGCGTCGCTTTCTGGAACTTCTTGCATTTAAATAATTTGTAATCAGTAGTCTACGAACTACCATAACACTTACAGAGCGATACAAAATTGTTTTCATAACTTTTAAGGATATTGAAGACCTTGCCTTGTCTTCGACCATCTTTGACCAACCTCTAAAAGATACGGCTCTCGCATAAAAAAGCAAATTCAACTATGTTTTCATTCCGATTATACCTCCTGACTTTAGTTTTCAATCCAAATCTTAGGACTCCTCTTCTAGATCGAGCAATCTTTTTTTCAACGCTACAAAAACAAAAATACCGCCACGTCCAAACATTTTTTCTTCGAAATATTTAATATATAGGTTAAGCTTACTTAAGATGGTGACATTTTTAAATAATATTGTGTTTTTTTAATTAGCCCATTTCAAGGGTACCCGTCAAAAGTTATGAAAATCAAGAAAATGGAATGCAAATGTTTCAGTATTCATTCTTGCTTGTAATGTGTACACTTCAGGCTTTCCAAAAAGGTATCACTTGTTTAATTCGAAAGACTGGAAGGGTCTCAAAAATAGTTGTGAAAGTGATGAGGTGCGACACTACGATTTCGTTGAACACAACTGTATGCATACTGCTTATAAATATGTACATTCATATTTATGTCATATACCGTAGCGTTGGCTTTATGTTCTCCAAAACATTGATAAGATGAGCTTAGGTAGTTATTAAAATATTAGAATATAATAGTACACCTATATTAACACTCAAGAGTTTGTCAAAAATGAAAAATGCAGTTTTGGACAATATATTTTAATTTGTCCTTTTCGAGTATAGCATAAAACTAAAAATTCAGAACATTTGTTTTCATCAAAATCCTTTAAAAAAAATAAAATATTCGTCTGTTAATTCAGTTATTCTTTTTAATGTATCAAATTTTTAATATAAATATACAAATATAGTGCAAATCCATCTTCTACGAGCACTCCTCTTGACTTTTTCGGACACAGCGAGCTACTTTGCGTTTAAAGTCAGGATAAGATTCTCGCCATTCTTTGGCGGCATCTACATTTGCTGGAGACTCATCGTTGGGATCAGCCAACATTGATATCACTGATATCAAGATAGTTTCCACTGTATGCACGGGTAACCAGCGCTCCGATGCTTTTTCGTATCCCCACTTATCATCTCCAGGTTCGTGTAAAATGGAAATGCAGACGTCTCCGTTTTTTTCAATATTAGGGTGCCAAATTTCTGTGACGAACTTCATTCGAGGTGGACGCAAAGGATATTCTTTGGGGAAATAAAGATGTGCTTTGAAAAAGCCTCCTTCACTACAGGAAAATAAATAAATTCGGATTAATTCGACTGTAGAGAACGAGACATTTTTTGTATTTCCAATAATGACAAACTGCAAAGTCTACATAAATATTTATATTGAATTTATTTAAATTTCCCATTAAAAGAAGCAATTCCAGATTGATTAACAAAAAAGCTATGCAGAGCTCTCGCTTCTTAGGAAGCAGACACCTCAGAAGGTTTTTGAAAATGGATGAACTATACTAATTTTAAATCCAATTGGTTTTATCCACTGCATTCAACAGATTCAGATCCCGGCCACTAATGGCAGTTCTCAACACTCGTATAAATCGGGGGTACTGCTAAACTATTTACAACAAGGTGTAGTGGAAACTCATAGAATACGAATATGTAAGCCTTCATATGTATAATGTGTAAATTAAAATTTCAAATTGAAAAACAAAATTCTGTTTTTCTGTTTTAATTCGGCGACCTTTTTAACTTATATGTGATTTTACTTTATCTGAGGGACTTATGCGATCGGAAATATATGTCATTGCGGTGCAAGTATCTAGCCAATAACAAACTAACAACGTGGTCAGGTCATTGCAAGAACTGTTTAAATTTACATGAAATATCTAAGTATATAAACATACTAAAGTGTATCTGGCGGACCAATTATTAGGACTTCCCAGCGGAATATATCATTCTCATCTATTAATCCAGCTGAGAAACCTTCTACTGGATTCTTGTTCAGTTCTGAAATGAAAAAAATAGAGATATGTAAATTAAATATTTTGTAAATACACTGCTGCCAAGCTAATTCCAACTCTTTTATATTCTTGATCAGCATCAATGGCCAAGTCTGTCTGGTACACACACTGATACAACCGTATTTTAAAAATTAGCCAGGTCGAAAACAAAGGACGAAAATCGGCTGTATCCCCAATTTTTAAGATAAGAGAAAACAAACGAGAAGGGACAACTTGTATACCCGGTACTCAGTACCGTGTTTAGTGTTTTTTTTTCGATTTTTACATTTTACATTTTTTTTACATTTGTCATCTACATCTACATCTCTTTTCACGACACACGCTCTTTTAGCTTTTAGTTTTCTTTTATCGTGAAAATTATGGCAGTGGGAGATTTTCGACCATTGCGGGGGCGGGGCTAATTTTTGAAAAACACTTGCATCAGTGTGAGCATACAGCAGCCTGGTGGCTCATCTTCATCTCATCATCATCTTGCACTAGGTCAATCGAAGATATATTTTGTTTATCAATATATGATGCCTTAATTTCCGCAACAAAATTACTAATCATATGCGTTTATCAGAACAATCGTATGGAATAAAGTTGTTGGATCAAAATGCCCATGTGAACTCGCCCCATTGATTCCGATTTAAGAACAGGGCGTGACAAATTATAGAATCGAAATTTATCCAGAACTTATCACAAATAAAAACATTCAAATTGTTCGTTAACTTAGAAGTCTCCCGATCCATGTGTTCAAACACACGGACAATGCTGCATACATATTTGTATGTTTGCAAATACATATGTATGTATGTGTATGTATGTAAAAAGGCTCGGATGTCTATGATGAACAGTACCCTGCAGTTACTGATATTTCCACATGTACAATATAACCTTGTACTTCGCGACTTCCAAACATAAAAAACAAAAAGTCTGTCTCATAGAAAACTGACATTTTTCGCCTAAATAGAATATTAAATTTGCAGATGGATGCATGTCCATACATATGTATATGTATGAAACATGTGCATGTAACATGTATCCGGCTCGATACAGCTCCGTACTTTATCGTTCGAATTTGAAGGCACTATTAACTAAGTAAACTAGAAAAAAGTGTAAATATACTATTCAGATGTAATTTAGATAATTCTAAATAAATCTACGCCCGTTTGCCAGTTTCCTTTTTTGGAACATGTGACATCGTAATAGGGAATCAGTTCCCTAAAAATATATATGTACATATGTACAACACAAAGACATTCCTTGGAGACAAACCAAGACGGAAATTTTTGTGTACATAATATATATGTACATTTCTGTATCAATATATATATATATTCATATTAATTTGTATGTAGATACATAGATAAATATATATACATATATAATACATTTATCAAATATTTGTATTTAACTCACCAGCCAATTGTTTCTTTAGCAGTAAAGATGACTGAAGTTCAGACATATTAAGTTTTAATAGTTCTCTAAAATAACGCTCGCTTATTTAATACAAATTAAAAAATTTTTCTTTTTAAACGCAGTGTCACCAAAAAAAACAAATATGTGAAGGCCGATGAGAAAAAATTTTCGCTCTTTATGGACTAAAAACAGATAAATGAACTGAAACTAGAAGGAATATAATGTGTACAATAATTCCGAATGAACTGGTTCAAGGAACGAAGAAACGAAACAGCATAACGATGTACACAACCATATGACAAAAGAAGGAACTGTGAGAAAAATAAATCAATTATCTGATTGGTTTTGTTGTGTGACCAAACAAACAATTGATCAAGAAGTTGGGACATGATTATTTAATAATGTAGTTTCAAAGTTTCATTTTAGTTCAAACAACATCGAACTTTATTTTCCTCAAAGAACCAAACCGACTTTTTCTGATGGACTGAAAAAAAATTATATCCAGTGTCCTTTACTTGTTTGTGTACACGTGCATTAATTTCACGTCGTTTAAGGTACTGCTCGTTATAATCAGTAAGCATTAATCATTACAACCAGATGTAAAAAACGTACGTTATGTGAAAACAAGAAGAGTCAACTCTGAAAAAAGCCTTGCAAGAAATACCAGTTCTTACAAATTCTTTAGGCCCAGGACCCAGATGCCCAACATTTTTTTACGACAGAAAGTGGCATATATTACTCTCTGTGACCAGTATGACCAAAGTGGGCAAATTTCATGCTCTCTGGGTACACTGTTTATGGGTTGTTTACTAAATTAAAACGGTTAAAATATAATATTTTGTATAAGAGCAGGAAGAGTGTGTTACTTCAGAGTGGTTATGGCGTTTCAAGGACAACAATGCATGGAGATGGCACGGCATTATAAGATATGTAAATCCTTTCCGGGGGAACAGAAAATATATATGTATAATATGAGTCCAGAGAATAAGATTAATGGATTATAATATCCATACAGTCAGTTTTCATTGGACTGAATTAATAAGCTTTAAATTGTCTTCATTTAATGCTCTTTTCTAGCCCTCTTGCACTTGTTTCGCTTGTTTCCTTCCGTGTTTCATGTTTCTGTCGACAATATATATATCAACTCTGTTTTTTGATCGACAGACAGTTTCGCAGCCAGAATTTTTCAGTTGAGTACTCAGATCAGCAGAAAATATATATATATATACAACGTGTCGACAGAAGCATTAATCATTACAACCAGATGTAAAAAACTTACGTTATGTGAAAACAAGAAGAGCTAACTCTGAAAAAAGCCGTACAAGAAACACCAGTTCTTACAAATTCTTTAGGCCCAATACCCAGATCCCCTACATTTTCTTGCGACACCTGTTTACAACCAGATGTAAAGAAATTTACAACTGCAAAATTCTGGCTGCGAAATTGTCTGTCGAACAAAAAGCAGGGTTGATTTCTTATCGTTTGTATGTCGCACGAACATTTTTCACATACTCAAAAATTTATGATAATCAAAAATTGAATAGTTCTTATATAAGCTAAGCATAGGGACTCATTGGTGGCAAACATTTTCTCGGTCTCTAATAAAATCAAAGAGCAGCTGATCTAAGAACAAAATGTTTCTGGTTCATATCTGAGAAAGGTAAAATCATGCACATAAAATGTAAGACATCATTTAAATCAATACTGGCATTAGAAATACATATTTTGGACACCCTTCTGCCACACAGACTCTGCTCGACCTATGGGAGGAAATATCAGATGGTTTTCGTATAGTTCGGAAATCTCGCAAATTTATAGGGAAATTTGATCTTCTTATGCTGAGGAATACCATATTTAAATGTAAAATGTAGTCTTAGAAAATAAGAAGGCATCCCTTACAAGGGATTACAAGGGAAACGATTGAAGGTCGTTGCAGTTCGAGAAAAAGTTTAACTATGCTGCAGACAATGCTTCCGCTTCAATGCATTTTAAAACATCCTCTTAATTTTGCTCCACCGAAGATAAAAGAAGTCTTTCTTTAGAAGTCTATAGTCTTTCTGTAAGTTTCCTAGAGAAATTTTTATAATAAATATGATTGACAAATTTGTTGTTGCTTTCATCCGCTGTTCATCAGCTGGTCTGCCAATGTTAACGCCCATTTTTTTAAGACAAACATGCAAAACATTTTGCAAGCGGCTAAGTGTGACCAGATTTATAAACTGAATGCCGCCTTGTATGGCACTTGTAATTGTTTAATTTGAGATATATATGTCAATGAAAACTTAATAAACCAGTGTATAAAAAATGTATCTCTGTATAAGCGGAATAGTGGGAAAAACATTAAAGTTGACATCTGTATTTTTTGTGTGTTTATTTAAGTACTGCACGCCGTGCAGCCTATAACAAAAAGTTTGTGCTTGATACAATTTTGTATATGTTTCAAACGAATATCATCCCTGATTTTGCTAAATGGTCACATTTTTCGGATCTGAGTACTAGATTCTTATCAAAACATAAAAGTTGTCTGTGCAGTGTACAGCATACGTATTTTTTCACTTGGGCGTTATAACTATATATGAACTATATTTGGCACATTTTGCAAAAAAACGTCTTTTCAGATGTGAGTACTAGGCATATATGTTGAAACTAGTGGAATACGGTCATCACTGCAATACCCTAAGTACAGTGGGGTATTCAAAGACCAACTCCACATCACGACTACCCGTGACCTGTTACACGGCTATCGATTCATTCCCCAGTCAGTCGATAGTACCACATTAAACAATACTATTTGCGCGTACAAAAAAAATTCGTGAGTCAGAATTTATACATTGTGTTACTTTAAAAAGGCATATAAATTAATACCATTTTTTGTCCGAAACGATGGCATATCACCAGGGTGGAATGCCAGATCAGCAATTCCTTTGGGATGTTTTTCAAAGGCAAGTTACGGAAACTAACGATATAAGGGAAAATTAAATTGTTTTTATTTCAGAGTGGACAAAGATAGAAGCGGTCACATTTCAGCAGATGAGCTACAAGTTGCCCTTTCTAATGGTACATGGTCTGCATTTAACCCTGAAACGGTGCGTTTAATGATTGGAATGTTTGATCGCGAAAACAGAGGAACAGTATCTTTTCAAGATTTTGGAGCCCTGTGGAAATATGTGACAGATTGGCAAAATTGCTTTCGTTCATTTGACCGGGACAATTCGGGAAATATTGACAAAAATGAACTTAAGACAGCACTAACTTCATTTGGGTACCGTTTATCTGATCACCTCGTAGACGTTTTACTCCGAAAATTTGATCGTTTTGGACGAGGCACTATACTTTTTGATGATTTCATACAGTGTTGCATTGTTCTTTACGTGAGTATAAACAACAATTTTAACAAGTCCATTTTCACAGAGGGTTTTTAAAGGAACTCGACTTAACGTTTATATGTACATACAGCTGCGGAGTTTAAAATAGCACCATGAAAATAATATTGAAATATTTTGTTAAAAAAATTTTGAATGAAAGTGGAATGAAGTTCTAATGGAGGTGTTTAAAACTATTATATCAAATTTGAGGCTTAATTCAACTTATCCGAGAAAGATGGTATGCTTAGATTGCTTTTGTTGGAAATATTTGGAAGGAAAATTAATTATTCCGGTGTTTGGAATAGCACCAATTTCATAAAAGCTCAACCAACTTCAAATTTAAAAGAAATTTCAACAATTTTTCATTACCATATTTTACTTTAATTGTATTCAAAGTTTAATAATTTGTTTCAAAGCTTTTTTTGGAGTCCTGTCGTCTTTCCTTGGGGATTCATCTCCACAAATCTGGCAGAACCCCCAAATGTAAAACTTTTTCATTGATTTCGTATTAGAAACATATTCCTTAACTGTTCCCCAAAGATTTTCCCTATGGTTCATATCTGTGGACTGAGCAAGAGAAAACATTGCATAGAAGTCACTGTTTTAAAACACCTTAGAGCTCTCTATCTGGTCTGTTTTGGGTCATTTCCCTGATGAAGACATAACTCAACGGCATTTTCTATTACATATAAGGCAGCATTATTGTTTTATTATATAATAACAAATAACAAAAATTGATTCATCATCGATTCCAGCACGGGTACCTTACTTTCTTGTCTCGGTACCCGGTACTCGAAGAGTAATACCCTATTTACTATTATTACTATTTACTATATTGTAGTTGTGGGGAATAACGGTTGTATGTAACGCACAGAAGGAAACGTTTCCGACCCCATAAAGTATATATATTCTTGATCAGCATCAATAGACGAGTCGATAGAGCCATGTCTGTCTGTCCGTCTGTCCGTCCGTCCGTCCGTCCGTCTGTCCGTCTTGTTTGTCGGCTAGTTCTCAGAGACTATAAGAGCTAGAGCCACCAAATTTTGGCTACAGACTGCTGTATGCTCACACTGAAACCAGTGTATTTAAAAAATGAGCCACGCCCCCTTTCGCCTCCGCAAAAGGGCGAAAACCTCCAAATCTACAGTTTTGAAGATAAAAGAAAACGCCATTCCGTAGAGAATGGCCATATCTATCAGATCTCCAAATTGGGATCCGAGTGGATCATTATTATAGCCACAATGAAGAAATTAATTTCCAGTGGCTAAACCCACACTGTCTCGCAGCTTTTGTTGTTCTTTTCACATTCTCTCATTCACACTCTGCTTCTGCTTCACTCGGCCCCTGCCTCTGCCCTCCCCCTGCCGATTCCTCTTCCGACTTTTAACCCACCCCGTCCCGCAGCTTTTATTTGTTTGTTTTTTTTTTGTGCGGACGGTGATCTGCCTCGAGTCTGGAGTGTGTGGGTCTAGGGAAGGGCGGCGAGCTTACGGAGCGTGTTGGTGTGAGAAGTGTTGTAGATGTAGATGACAGATGAAGAAAAAATTAAAAATTTGACAAAACACCACTAAGGTGCAGATGTAGTACTGAGTGCCGGGTATAAAAGTTAAGACGCGTAAAAAGCGTCTCAAACGTCCCTTTTCGTTAGATATAAATATGTGTCAAAAGGTTGTGGTTTTCATTTGGTAGTCGTTTTACATCAAAAGTAAAATTTTGGCAAAAAAAAAAAAATTTGTCTTCCTCCGGATCACAGGATCTATATCCATATATATTTTGGCCAACTCCAGTGTTTTTTCTACCTTGTATTTAATTTGCCCCATGGTGACTTTGCTTAACTGGATTTTTTCTCAGACTTCAAAA